AATTATTGATGTTACCAATCCCTAGATGCCTAGCTCAGTCAGCCTCTCTCATAATACCTGTGCCACTTATGTTAATAACTAAGACTTGCTATACTAGGTAAACCCCAGAAGATTAGGCCTACTAATACACTGCCAGTGTTTAACCATAGCAAGTGTGATCACAGTCTAGAACTCAAAACCCATGTTTCTGCTGATGAGAAGCTGGGAAAAGACTATCCCAAGATAAAATGTAGTAACTGGTACCTATCAACAGCTTTTTTTTAATTTGAAAAAAAAAAAAAACAACAACCAAAAATAAAAAGAGAAGAGAGAGGGACTTAAAACATAGGAACAAACAATGCAGGGAAGCAGCCAGCTGTGTCTTTTTTAAGGCCTTTAAACAAAGACTGGTGGTCTTTTTGAAAAACTTGTATTCCTCAGCTCAGTACAGGAGTAACTGTATGCATTGTAACAGCTTACTGTATAAAAGAGGACAGTCAAGGCAACTACTAGTCCTTTCTGTCCTCAAACTGAATTATCAGTTTATCACCAAGATAGATAGCAAATGAATAAGTAAACTATATGCCATCAAAAAAATATTTTCAAGTGGTGTCTTGCTTCTCTGTTTTACCCAAATATTTTTCTTCCTGCTCTGAGATTTCTAATCTCCCTATACGAGTCAGTTTACTCACTTTGTCCTGTTAAGCTTCATCTAAATGATGCAAGCAAGACACAATGTATTTTGTGCTACAGTTTACTGTTGAGGATGCAGCCAGTGGAGCGGAAAAACAAAATAAAAATCTCTGTGTGAGCATCCAACTGAAAACAGAAAGACTAGACAAAAGTACATTCACTGCTGTTTTACTTGGCACAGACAACACTTGTCAGGTCAGGAACACATCTATCAGCTCAGCAGCTCTGGGCAGTAAACAAATGCTTAATTAATGATTACACATTCTTATGTTAAGCAAGAAACTAGTTTACTGTGCTGCTGCTCAAGCCATGCTTTTGTGTGCCTGAGGTAAGAGTATTTAATTACACTGAATAGCCAATGCTCATTTACTACTGTGTCTTGGGATAGCTTTTCTTTTCTGCTAATAACCTGTGATCTCCCACAAAGGCAATCTTATTGATGTGCAGCTAAGATTTAAAAACACTAAAACAAACCTCGACCCCGGCTGCAGCTAACAACCAACGAATCGACTCCATCTTGCCTCTTCCATTGAAGTAGTAAAGTTTTGGTTTCCCAGACATGACTTCAAACTTCCTGTTACCTAAAAGAGTTATAAAATATAATCAGTTAATAATTACAAGAAAATCTTATGGCAGGTGGAATAATGGTTCACAGGTCACTCACACAACAAAAATTTAAGTTAATTTTTGGCAAAATATTTCAGCAGAGTTTCAGTCTAAAATGATTTGGTTTGACTGCTGTACAGTCAATTCAGACTATTTCATAGACTTTTCATCCTCCTGAAATACAGGAAAAGTAAGCATCAAGTTGCTAAGTAGGAGATAACTGAAAAAAATTAAAAGCCACCACTAAGAAAATCCTTAAAACTTTTAGGAAATATAAGTTTTAGCACTAGAGTTACACAATCACCACTGAAAGCCAAGTCTTGATCAAAGAGGAGAAGGGGCAGCACACAGGTTTTCTAAAACTAGCAGTCCTTGTATCAAAGAATGCTAAAAGTATCTAAACATTAATTCTACACATGCTTAGGGGAGTATGGAACTGTATTTTCAAGCCTCTACCTTTTCTTTCTAGCGGTGGTGATGCAGGGTAAGTACGCGATCCAGAATCAGTAGAAGAATGGCCTGTTTCTTCTGTAATAATCCAGATTAAAATACAGAGATTCAGTGTTGCACTACTGATCCTTCTACAGGTCACATTTCTTTCTATAAATAAACCCTGTTGCTAAGCAAAACTTTACAGATTTTTCAGTTGATTAAATCCACCGTGCTTTGCAAGCAGCATTTTAGTTTCTTTAATGTCTTCATAAATGAGGCTATTAACTGTTATTTTTTTAACAGACTAGTGTTTGGGTCTCAGCAGGAATTAGATTCCCCTGTAGAGCCATAAGCCAAGAGAGCAATCAGATGTTATCATACTGGCATTTCATGTGCAGCACTCCATAACAGCAAGTCCTTGCTGCAACTGAGAGCCTTTTTTCCTCTAGGGAGATTTCTTGTCACTTCAATCCACAGTTCAAGCAACACTGGAAAAGAGCTGGCATGCTAACAATAAACTCCAGTTTCCAATTTTCCAAGAGCTCCTTCATAAGCAGAGGGGAAAAAAAGCCTTGAGCAGGCAGGAGATGCATGTGATCTGCTTGTTAGCCAACAGGCAAGAAAAATATGAGACTGCATCACACCATGGGAATTCAAACAAGCCAGGCTATTTGGCCCATGTCTGTTTAGGGGCCTCCAACTGCTCTTAGGTAAGTCACTGGGAACAAAAACATTGCCAAGCAGTATCTATACTCCTAATAAATATAGTGGTTCATGAGAAACCGACAAAAAGACTGAAGTATCAATGTGAACTACGTGAAATAACAGAATTAAACAGGAGCTGCTTGTAATACAGCTAAATTCACGAAAGTAGAAAAAAAGCCAAAGGCGATTTTTAACTTGTAGTTTAAAAAATTAAATAAACAGAAGAGTCACTTTTCTTCAGTGCACCCTCCTGAGACCTCCTCCTAGCACGCCAGCAGGCAGGTCACAGGACATAAGCAAGTCACATATCGGTGAAGTAAAGGCAAATGGATGGTGAAGGCATAGGGGGTGCTTGTCATGTAAATACCCGGGGATCAACAAGCTTTGGAAAAAAACTGTAGCATTCTGGTTCCTGGGACTGAGCCTGCCCTGCAAAACTGGAAGAGACAGTCCAACTTGTGAACTGAAATCAGATGAAAAGAGCACTCCGGGGATGGGCAAAGCGCTTCTCCCTTCCCCGGTCTTCTCACTACAGGGAGGGAAAGCGACAATTTGCAGCCAGGAGCCACAATCGCAGTTACATTGCTGCCCATTCTCAGCCTTGCTCAACAGCAAAAGGGACTTGGGGAAAAAAGGATCTGAATTTACTCCTTTGTGATTTTTGAAGGCCATCTGGGCTAACAAAGGGAACAAGGGAACATAGATATCAGTGCAAGAAGCAATTGCTCCCACGCTAGCTACGGACCAGAAGGACATCAGTGAAGAGGCTCAGGGGACCAGCTGTTCCTAGCATGTCTCGCGGATTCAAGATCCCAGGGCCCGATTTTCCCTGCCTGCTTTCAGCCCCCGTCAGTCCACAGCGGCCGCTGTTCCACCCCGCACCTCGGAACACCAACCCGGGCCTATCTCTGCTCAGGTGCGACAGGCGGCACCCCCGGGCCATCGGCTCCCCCCCACACTGGGAACTAGCTCTGGGTACACTCGAGATGAAGAGCGGTCCGTGTTGTTACATAGGGAGCCATCGCGCTCCGCGACCGGGACCCGATCCACGGGTCAGGCACCGAGTGCCAACCTGAGCCGGGCACAGCCCCTTCGCCCCCCGCCTCTCCGGAGCCAAGCGAGCCAAGGGCCCCGGGGGATCGGGAGAAGAGAACTCCCAGCCCCACATTATTGACACACAGGACCAGAGCAGCGACCACACGCGAGCGCAGCACCGCGAGCGCACACGGCACCCACCTGCCCCCTCCGCAGCCGCCCGCGCCGGCCCCGCCCAGCGCCGCGTCACGGCCACGACACAAGCGAAAGCCAATTGGAAGCCAATAATCTGCATATTTCGCAAAGGCCTCTAGAAAGAAATATAACCCTCAAAAAAAATCGCTAATACTTTTTCACGCGTCTGTTTTGGAAGGTTTCGTCGATGCACAGCGCTGATTTCGGGGGTTGTGTCAAAGAATTTTCAGCCGCAGTAATACACCGTGACCTTAAGATGATCCGAAGTATTGAGGTATAAATACCGCTGTGCTAGCATACCGTTTCTGGATGTGAGGGCGATCTGGCTGCGACATCTGTCACCCCATTGATCGCCAGGGTTGATTCGGCTGATCTGGCTGGCTAGGCGGGTGTCCCCTTCCTCCCTCAACGCTCCATGTGCGTCCCTCCCGAAGCTGCGCGCTCGGTCGAAGAGGACGACCTCCCCGATAGAGACGGTACCGTTCATCGGTCAAGGGTATACGGTAGCTGCGCTCCCCTGCTAGAACCTCCAAACAAGCTCAAGGTCCATTTGTAGGAGAACGTAGGGTAGTCAAGCTTCCAAGACTGCAGACACATCCAAGTGAGGCGCTGCATGGGGCAGTTTGCCATTGTTTTGTGCTACCAAACTCTCAGAAAACTGCTCATAATCCCTACGTTTTGCTGCAGTGTGAGCACATTCAGGGGTTTATAATTTCCATTCAGCACTCCTCCAACTTCAATTCCCCAGTCACCTCTTAATCCATGAGCTCCTCACATTACACACACCAGTTAAAATGAGCATCTTCACTCTTATAAATGCACTTTTCACCTAGTTCTTCACCTGTTCAATTGATTTGCAGCCCACCTAAAGAGCTTACAAAAGGACTGGACTTGTAAATTATCAACAGCCTTCAGCTTCTACTGCCTTGAAAGCCAAACAGAGCAGAATGGAACAGAACGGAAAAGAGTAGAGTAGAATAGAGTGGAATAGAATAGAAAAGAATAGAATAAATTTCCCTTGGAAGGGACCCACAACGATCTAGTCCAACTGTTTGTCCTTCCAAGGTGTTATGCATATTCTGTTTTAATGCAGCCTTGCAGGTAGTTTCTGAGCAGCTGACATCCGAGGACTAAGCAATTAGCTTTACGTGGAGCTCAAAGGATATTGCAGAAATTACATGCACTCAAACCACGTGGCCAGTGAACTTGCAGTGCCCCTTGGCAAAGGTATCACAGAGAAGGTTTATTTAAAAAAAACCATCAATCAACACACAATTTAAAAACCAAAGAAACAAAAGGCAAACTGAAGTGCCTTTATTAAAAACTGAATAAAAGAGCAAGACTCAAGCCAGCAGTACTTCTTCAAGAGTAACTTTATTCTGGGCAGGACACTTGACACAGAAGGAGTGAAACAAACATTTAGAATGTTTCTGAACAAAAACACTGAATAAACAAGAACCATTACTTCTTCACTCACTTTGACAATTCTACCCCTTCCTTCCACGTTAAGTTCTAAAATATTCTTTCAGTATATACTTTTCTCCTCACATTATAGAACATCCTTCTCATATAAACAGCCATATTAGATACAGAAACACCATGGAGTGGGTTTTCTGGCATGGGTTTGGTTTTTTGGCTAACATCATGGCACTTACACAATACTTTTAGGAAAATCCGGATTACAGAGGTGAATGAATCCACTGTCAGACTCCTTTATTTCCAACAGTCATTATTATTATATATTATACCTAAGCCTGAGAAAACCTAAACAATACAATTCTAAAAACATTTTGCATAAAGATCCTGCTAAATATTAAAGCATAAAGTAGTAGGTTACATATCATAAATTCTCAGATATGCTGCTTGTCCAGATTTCGGTACAACAAGGACCTCCATCTTTTCCATATCTGTATTGCACACTGAGACAGCAGAATAGAATACATAAACTCAGTCAGCTCCATCCTGCTCAGAAAGAACTTTTCCAAATTTACTAGAAATTTGCTTAGTAAAGGATACAGGTGCTGCCATTATACTTAGCTAATTCTCTGTGCCACTAAGTTAAAACTGGCAGAATTGATGCTGAACATCAAGATTATTACCTTTTTTTCCAAAAATAAAGACTTTACCTTGCGAAAGGAGGAGATATGCCAAAATAAAAAAAGTACAACTTCTTTTTCTAATCTTTTTGTTGGACTGGTTAAAGCCTGAATGCTATAGTCAAAAAAATCACTGCAGGTCAGAGATTACAGGCCAAGTTCACAGATTCATCCTGTGTTATTTGAATCTCTGAGTTGTCCCCATCCTTAGTGGAGAGAGACAGGCACTTCCAGAGCACTAGTATGTTCTCAGGTGAGACAGATTTCTTTTGAGATGATTCTCACTCACCACAGGTCTAAAGAGTCAGCTCTTAACAAAGGAGCTCACACTTATGTATGATGAATCCAAGCCTCAGCAGCCTGTTCTCATGACTTGTTCATCTCTTTCTCCTACTTGTAGAAAGTAAATGTACAGACCAGACTGGTTAAATTGCCTACTTAAGTCTAGGGATACTTAGGGTAGGTTCAGGGTGTTCATTCTTGAGACAGAGATAAAATAAATTAAATTATATGTAGACATAAATACAGATATTATTTCCACCAAGAGAAACAACTATCTTTCCAGTTCTAACATAAATATACATATTTCCCTTTCCACTTACCCACAGACACCATCAGCATATGCTTTAGAAACTGAATGGCTGCTTTACTGCTAAGCATTGGCATCACTGCTTTGGGAGCAGTTAGGTATGGTTTGGAGTTATGCACTGGCTATGCATAACTTGCTGTGCACAGATAACAGAGTAGAGGGACACATAAGATGTCTTTGGCATGTGCAAGTCTTACATGCACACTTTTGCTCCCTCTTTGTCTTGTACTGTTTCACTGTGGACTGAGCTTGTAAAAGCAAACAGTAACTACTGCTCCCAGTGGTTCCCCCTATAGCACTGAGCCAGCACCCTACTCCAGGGTACAGTTTCCTTGAAATCCCATGGGAAGGGATCCTTGAATTCTCCATGGGAAGCACTGAAAAGGCCAGAATGCATTCTCAGTCTCCAGTCCACAGCAGCTGCCCCTTGAGCGTGCTGGCAGATCCCATGGAGAGGATCTCACTGACACGGGAACTGTTCAGTTCCCACAAAACAGCTGGATGCTGAGAACTGTACCTACTCTGATCCCTTTAGGTTGGATTTAAGTCTCATAAATAAAGAATCTGCCTTCACACAATGAGCTCAGAAAGATGAGAATTTCTGCACACTTCTGCAGGAAGATGCATCTTCTCGGCATACTTCAGCTTTGGCGGTTGCTCCAAAACACAGCTCTAAAAGAGGTTCTCCCACAGCACCAAACTCTTTACCTTCCTTTTGTGGAAGGAGGTGCAGGAAACAGCCAAATGCTGACTGTGATCTAAATGAATCTTCTGCTGGACTCTGGCACTCCTTTACAGATCAGAATTAAACCAGACTATGGGGCTATTTTCTTTTCTCTATAACCTGATATAACTCATACTCTCTTATAAACTGAATTAAACTGCTCTTCAAAGGGCTGTATCAGTTTCTGTGAAATCAACCAGAATTTTACATTTTCTTAACAGGACCAGATAAGGTCCCATTTTTCCCTGTAGAGCCTGCAGGCCTAATTTACAGAAGCTTACATATTCTTCACATTGTAAATGAAGATGTATTGTAGTGAAGAAGAACTGAGTAAGAACTTAAGTAAGCTTAAATGGACTTATTTCCACTGGATTGTTTTGGGTGGTTGTTCTTGGTTTGTTTTTCTTTTCCCAAAAGTGATTTAAGACAGTTGTGAAAAGTCAGCTGCATAGATATGTTTACTTAAACTCTGTTGCTGTTGTATCACTAATATTCTTTTTCTCTGAAAAAAGTTTCATAATTGTTAATACTGTCTTAAATATGTCTTTAGCTTTTATATTCACAACAAAAGAAAAAGAAGAAACAGAATCTGATTTTTCTCCTTAGAAATGATTAGAACATTTAAACGAATTTAACAGGGTAGATCCACATTCTGTTTCATAGTGAACAATGCCAAGGAGCAACTCTGAAGCAGGAAAAAAGAGCACTGTGTCAGAAAACAGATTTACAGAAGGGTATTTACCCTCCACCAAACAAGAAGATTCCCTAGATTTGGTAAATTTGGATAGCAGTCCAACAAAAACCTTTTAAAGGCAAAAATAAATTTAAAAAGAAAGTGCCTCCCACTGACTTTCAGCAGTCTCAGCGACTGCAAAGGAGAGTTTAGACTGTTAGTCACTCACTCCTCTAGCCAGTATGAAGCAAATGAATATAGGACAACAGAAGCATGGCATCAAGACATGGCATCACTGAAATTATACAGCTTCATTTAGCACATAAACTTCAGAAAATGTCTAATGAATGCCCCTTTCTCAGTACTTCTCTTCCACTGCAATATTGCACCGCTTTGCTTTTTTTATCCACTTCTATAAAAAAGTTCAACCTAATAAAAAAAAGTTACTTTTTTAAAAGTTCATTATAAAAATTTATTGTATAAAAATGCCAAATCCCCTAAGCCATATATACAAAATGTATCAGTTTTATGAAAATAACTGGACCCAATTATATAACAAAACATTTTTATACAAAAAGGTACAAGGCTGCATTCAAATTAATGCAATAAGTAAAAAACAACGCTTCAAAATGTCTCATTCATCGAAGATCTGTCTCTTTTAAATGTACAGGTATATAAAACAGTATCAAATTGTCTCACGTTGGCCACCATTTTATGGGCAACATGCACTGGTCAGAGAGCTTTTCCACAGTCACCGGTGAGCGCCGTACTTCGCAGACCAGTCAACGCGCCCATGGATCGGCTGAGCTGGTGGTGGGAGAGGCATTAACCTTGGGGAGCTTTTTGTGGGGGAACTGAAGGATGGCCATCCCAGATGGGGTCTGACTGACGTCAGAGAAGCAAAATCTAAAGGACGAAAGAAAATGATGTGAGATAAAGGTTCAGTGAGAGCTCCCACACTGAGCAGTAACTGGATGCAGGCCCAGATCCTTATTTCTTCATAAATAAGCCTCCTTTTTTATTAGAATTTGCTGATGTGAGACAGTAGTGGATCCAATGCCTTAAACCTTAGCAGACAAGGAGCATTTACATCACTGATTTGACAAGAATGAATTCTGTGCCAGTCAGTTGGTTCACACTAACCTCTAGGTCCCCCTGAAATATGCTGTAGATAAACCCAACTATTTAATAAACGAAATAAAAATAAACCACATTCTTCTCTATATGAAATTCTGCAAGGTTATAAACAATAGCTCCAGTTAAAGCAAAGATAATTAGCTCAGTGCTGCATACATACAGCATGGATTACGGAGCAAGGGACCAAGAGAACTTTGGTACTATACTCACCAGAAGATGGATCCACAACTGGTGTTATCTGAACCCTCTGCCCAGCAGAACCTACTTCCTTCTTCAGAAACGAAGGGATATAACCACTAGTTAGACCGCTTGATCCTATGGGCCCTGAAAGAAATGGCAAGGAACACCTGAGCTCAACACAATGGATCTCCCACATTATCAACAAAGCTGTGCACTGATGGGTCATGTTCAAGGCCAGGCCTGATCACGGACTGATGAAAACAAAAACTTAACTGAAGACACTAGAAATTCACAGCTCCTATATGTACCTGCATTCACGAAACTCTCAGCATCAGACTGCATTACAGATAAATGGCAAACAGGTACAAATTGTACCTGTCAGGGAGAACTGCAATTCTCCCTGACATCTCAGCCTTTTCAAGGTTTCTCAAAGTTCTCAAAACTTAGCATTTTACTTAGAATTATTTTGTTTGACTTTCACCAACTGTGTCCTATTAATATATTCACTCTTGATTTCTATGCAGTGAAATATGGGGCTCTGGTGCTACACAAAGGTCTTACTGAAGCCCAGTGAGAGCACAATTTAAAAATGTGGTACAGATTCACATTCCAAATTTGTAAAGCCAGCTACAAAACTTGTCCCTGAGATGAGCAGGAATAGATTTGACTGACCTGTCAAATGGATAAGCCAATGAAAATGGAACAACAATCTAGAGTCTAGAGTTGTAGCAGAGGGGGACACTAAACAAGTTAGCATGCACAGACCAGAGCCATTGCATATATGCCTATGATGTACTAGAGCAGTGGCAAAGCATATTGTGGGAAGTGATGGTAATAAATAAAAAAGGGAAAAATCTAACGATATCCTATGCAGCTACAAAAGCAGCAAAACTTGTATAATAGCCAGGAATGAAATATGTACTACGTATATAAAGGTTCTCATGTAGTTTAGCTATTTACAACGTCCTCCCATCTTGAATCTTTAAAGAACAATTTTTGATTTAATTACATCAGAAATTTTAAGTTTCTTATTTTTTTTAAACCAGAGTTTCTAAAGCCCCAAAATGTTTCTTTGGGCCAAGATTCAATACAAATTTTCTAAACCAAACATTTTCAAAATAAGTAGGGCACTGCAGAACTGTAACATCACATGAAAACCTGAAGCAAAGGTTTAGAAAAGAAATACATAGATACAATCTAGAAACATCAACATGTTTAAGTATATCTGGTAAAATCTAATGTAAAAATCTACAAATTAATTACTTCAAGTCAAACAACAGTGATTAAATACCTGAAATACCAAATGCCCAAAAAACCTGAAGAAGAAAAATTGAAGAGTTTTGCTTTTTTTCTGAATTTTTTAAGCTACAATTATTTCATTATTTTAAACAACATCAATTAAAAGACATGATCATAGATTTTCTTTGCTTTATTCATGTAACAAGAGTGGTGTGTATGGATTTAGACCAGATTCCTCCTCTATCGACAGTCATTTATGCACCAGCTGGGCTAAAATAATCTGGAAGCCAGAAAATATGACTTATGAAAACTGAAGAGGGAAACTGAAAGCAAGATTAAGTATTTCAAGCTGAACATACCTAAGCTGTCCAACCTTCTATGCATGAGGTACTTCAAAACCGACTTCTGGGGATTCAGTGAAAGAAATGACTATGTTTCAGTTTCAGGGAGTCTCCAAATCTAGGCAACAGTGCTCATAACTGATTTTATCAGAAAGAAAAGACAAGGTAGCAAGTACCTTTGGAGCTGACAGTGTTTTAGAAATGGGTGACCCCAAAATAAGCTGTAGGGAATTTCAAAGACACCACTTATTATCATTTCTCAGAGTGTTAAGGACAGCTTCTTACCTGAATTCATCCTGTTAATACTTCCTCCCAAACCAGAAGTTTTGCCAGACAAATCAGAACTGGGCCATGGATTAGATGGAACAGACTCTTTGTTTGAAGTGGAGACTATGCTATTTCTTGTGCTTATTCCTATTGCAAAAAATGCAAGATTATTATGCTGAAATCTCTGTAGCCACACAGGCTTGCATTCATTCCACCTGATGCACAATCTTACAGCAGATGTCCGGTTCAACTTAAACAAAACCTTCTCCCTCTCAGTAACTCTATGGGTTGCTTCCCATCCTCTCATCATACAGGAATGCTATGACTAGGCACAGGCCCTAATCCTGCAAACATCACAGTGTAAAAGTTCCACTAGCATCAATGGCTGCTTATATCCCAGGACAGGATCCTTACTTACATCAAGGTCACAAACATTCTCAAATCACAGAAGGTGAACCTTGCTAAGTAAATGAAATCTACGCTTCCTATAAAAGGCTAATGAGAAGATAACCTGAGAGCAAATAATGGCAATTCTATTTCTCATAGTACTGTACTCTTCTTTAGTGTCTCTACTGAAGCCACTGATTGTGCAAACAGTTTGTAGTAGGGTTCATATGTCACCTATTATTTGCATTTAATATACATCCTGTATTTAAACAGGGTATGTAACACACAAGGATGCACTCACAATTTATGATAAGGGAAAAGCAGACTTGGGATCAATGTGTTTTACAATCTCCTCTAGTAAAACAAGTTTTAGCTACCAAAACTGTACTTAAGTGAGCCAATTTGAAAGTCAGTTGTTTCAGGAAAAAAGACTGAGTTTGCAGTCACAATACCTTCTAGTTTACTTAATTAATTTTGTAGTGTTAGTACAACAAGTGAATGAATAGCTAACACTGCCTTTATAAATAGAAATTACAAAAAGGAATACACTTATACACACCTCATTTTAACTACAGGCAGACATGTCTGCCTCCTGTACTTCATCCCACCCCAGCGCTGGTCTCAGTATAGCAGAGGTTATCATGAAGACAGGCATGTAATTCTCTATAGAGACATGGACCTACATTCTATTTAACTCCAAGCTACAGCAAAGCATATTCCCACTATTAGCCTGTTGTTCATGGTATTATACACTCATGACATAAATGTACAGGACTTTATTTTCCAGTGTAAAAGACCGGTCACATCCTTTACAGGGAAACAGAATAATTTGGTATCAATGACCACTTCATACTGCTCTTGGAATTACAGGAAGAAAAAGAAAGAAGTATGTTTTACTAACCAGGTAGGTACCTAGAATGTCTCAAGTAGTGTTGCTTTGCAGCAGAAACTCGCAATGTGGGAGTGTCCTGCCGTGAAAGGGTTGCATGGGAAGTTCGTGCACTGGCACCAGAGCCTACAGCATCCAAAGGCTTCAGGTCCAAAATGCTTTCAAATCTATAATTCAAAAATTGCTACACTTAGTCCAATTTTTATACTACATGTTTATCCACAGTTGGCCTTCTCAACTCCATCCCATCTCCACGAATCATCTCCTTATACTGTGTTTGCTACACTACAAACACACAGACAACAGGGAATATTTTCAGCCATACAAGTGCCCCTGAAAATCAGATTTGTGTTTCTAGTTCCCTTATATTCTGTTTTTAAAGTTTTTTTATAAATCACTCAGTTGGTTTTTCTCTACTCTGTACAGTCCATGGAAACTGCAGCTTGGAGTCCTCCAAAACAGTTTATATGCATGGAGTATGTCAAAATGGTCCACAAGTGAAATATAAAGTATATATTCAAAGACTAACTTGGGGAGACTTAAACCAAGCATCATTTTCAGTGGGAAACAAAAAAGAACATGGAATTGTACAGATATATGTTTCTAGATCCATAGAAAGCATGAAGAGCGACATTACTAAGAAAGAGGAAAAGACTAAAGAAATAGACCAAATAGTACATGGACATAAAAAAACCCCTTACCTACAAAGAGTTTCATCATTCTGCCTCTTCTTGTTTTTCAAGTCCATTCTTATGATGGAAGAGCTGAAATCAAGGTCTTCCAAGTCATCCCAGTCTTCGGAACTCTTCACTGTCCTAGCAAGATGTCCCCATCTTCGCCTAGGTTTTGGTTTAAGGTCACCATTTATATTCTCAGCTCCAGTACATGTTTTCTGTTATAAAGATTGAAAAGAAACAAACCCACGCGCTTAGAGCATAAACCAGGTGACAGGAACAAAGAGGACTTTTTTTTTCTCAGTAGTAGAGCTGTAACAATGCAATCCTCATCTTTCATTAAACATGCTAAGAACACATTATGTAGACCATATTATTACTTATCTTCTGCATTTCATCCTGTAATAAAGTATCTTGAACTGACAGAAGAAGAAATTCCTTGGGTCTCAAATCCAATTCTATTTATATTTCAATATGCACCTCCCAAACAACGCCCTTACGCTCAATCTTTACTTCTAGACCCATGCTGGGAGTACAAAACTACATGCACATTTAGGTTTCCACAAGCCTGTGTCTAGACATTTATAAAATGTACTTCTCTTGCAGGACAGCATAGGTACAAATTTGTGTCTCTTCAGTCATTTATGCTCACCAGTACATTTCAACTTCGTGCGACTCGTGGCCAGTGCAGACCCTATTTATGGCCAATCTCTCAGCAGCATTTGCTCTCATCATCTGTCTTAAGAATCCAGTCTCCTCACACAGCCAACAGAAAGGGTTCTTATGCTGAAAGAAGAATCTGCTGTTTTCTATGTCCAGCGTAGTCCAAAATGACTATTAATCCCAGTCAATAAACTGGATGCCTTAAATGGATGAAGGCAATAGCCCCCTCCCCCTCATTTCAATGCTATTTACTTCAATACTTTTCTCTCTGGCATCAATCCCCTTAATAGTTTGAACACTGTACTTCTTTTTTACTCATATGAAATCATAGTGTCATCCTTTAAGTGGTGCTCTAGAACAAAGGAAAGCATAAAATGGCTCTGAAATGAGATATCAGCTTCCTTGTTTTATAGCAACTGATTTATATGTCAACAGACTTCCAGTTTCTAGCATAAAGTTGTAATTATTTTTTATTCCCGCTCACTGTCCTTTTAGTAAAAGTACAAGAATGCTGAAAGTGAACCAGAAAAAGAAACATAATTAGGAATAATCAGGCAACATATCAGGAAGCTTATCTTACGCTAGATGGACCTTTACCTGCTGAGGAACCTTATTGTGAATTGCAGGCAGAAGAACCTGGTTAGATTTGTCCTCCTGTAAGTAGTTACTGTGTTCAGTCCCAGAGTTGTCTCTCTTATATGGGTACACTGAGTGCTGAGAAGATTGGCTTTGTTGAAAAGGCCTTGATGAAATTCGGGCATGAGGTTTCGGTGGGGGCTGTACTGGAGGGACAGGCTTAATATGCAGAGATGATTTATTATGCAGTTCCTTTTGTTTTCCCAGTTCCTGAACACCCAGGGCATGCCCAACCTGGAAGTATGGGTATCGAAGTGCCTATAAAGTAATAAAAAACCAAAGTTTTTAATTTACGCCAGTTCTATCTCTCAGTTGAAATTTAGATTCCTTTTCTTCTAGGGTAGAAAAGAGCAGAAGACCCATCTCTTAGCACCAGATTCTAGAGAGCACAATCCACTTCAGAAAAATGATGCAATACTAGAAAAGTTTCCACAGATACCAAGTTATCAAATCCTCTGTGGACTTGTACAAAAGGCAAAGGTTCTGCAGAAGTAAGATACTTAACCAGGTATATGGCATGTTAAGGCATGTTTCATTATGTGCTGTCTCTTCATGTCTGTGTGCATGCACACGTGCAAACACACACACCATCGTCACAGATTCAGCCAGCAAAACTCTAATGGCCCCAGAGACATCCCATCTCTTCCATCCCCCAGTTCCAAGACTGAATTGAGTGAAAGAAACATAACCTTTATGAAAAGTTGCCAAAAGATGTGTTGGTAAAAATATTTTTATCCTGCCTTACAAGTAATTAAGGAGTTGTTAGTAAAGGCAAGTGATCTCTGCCTATCTTGCTGTTTCAGGTCTTCCCTTCCCAAAGACCTCTCACTACAAAAAACTTCTAAAAGCTCAGATTACTCACCATTTGCATGTTATTGTAAAACATTTGTTACTGCTCTTAATATAGGATTTTGTGCTTTTCATTACTTTTGAGAGTTCTTAATCTACTTCATTTTTTTAACTGCTTTAATTAGCTTTAAAGCTTTTAATTACAATTTATACTGAAGGTCTAATTGAATCACAAAGGTTCAGCTACGGTCCTGTTGAAGTCAAGTCAGATTTGTATCCAGAATCACATCTGTTTTTCAAAAGGTGCCCTGCTTATTTAATTAGTTGGTTATTACCACAACAGTACTGGTGTCTGAAAGCAGTGGCTACCACCACCATCACCACCATCTGGTGCATGTGCAATACTGATGACCTGGGCAATGCTTACGTTCAGGACGTTGGGACACATCTGCAGTGCACTTGAGTGGAGAGTGTCCAGCAAAAGCCAGCCTTATCCAGACAGCACTGGGCTGGATGAACAGGGTGAGGTGGACTGAAAGCTGGTTGAATGGCCAAGCCCAGAGAGTGGTGATCAGTGGAACAAAGTCTGGTTGGAGGCCAGGAGGTATCAGTGTATCCCAGAGGTTCAATATTGGGGCAAATACCGATCAACACCTCCATTAATGATGTTGATGGTGGCGCAGAGTGCACCCTCAGCAAGTCTGCTGATGACACAAAACTGGAAGGAGTGGCTGATACGCAAGATGGTCATGCTGCCATCTGTCAGGACTTCAACGGGCTGGAGAAACAGGCTGACAGGAACTTCAAGTTAACAAAGGTAAATGCCAAGTTCTGCACCTGGGAAGGAATAATCCCATTCGCCAGTACATGCTGGAATCAAACACCTGGAAAGCACCTTTGCAGAAAGGACCTGGTAGACACCAAGTTGAACATGGGCCTTGCTGCAAATAAGGCTAACAGTATCCTGGGCTGCATGAGCAGGAGTGTTGCCAGCAGGCTGAGAGTGGTGATCCTTCCCCTCTGCTCAGCACAGGTGATGCTGTGCCTGGAGTGCTGTGTCCAGTTTTGGGCTCCCCAGCAGAAGAGTGAGATGGACATAATGGAGAGAGTCCAGCGAAGGGCCACAAAGGTGATTAAGGGACTGGAGCATCTCACATATGAGGAAAGACTGAGAGAGTTGGGACAGTTCAGCCTGGAGAAGAGAAGGCTCATGGGGATCTTAACAAAGTATGCAAAACCTCAAAGATGCAAAGAAGATGGAGCAAGTCTTTTCTCAGGTTTGTGCCTATCGTCACTCAGGGGTGCCCAGTGACGATAGGCACAAACTGAAACACAGGACACTCCCTCTGAACATCAAGAAACAGTTTTTTACTGTGAGGGTGACTGAGCACTGGCACAGGTTGCCTAAGGCAAGGGGGTTGGATCAGATTCCTGTGATTCTGCAGTATGTATCAATAGCAATGAAGAACAGCATCAGAGCCTTCAGCCATATACCCTCCCTTCACTCTGCTGCTATTCAGTGACTCAATAATACTTAATTCAGGTGTACTTACACATCCTGCAGTCACACCTTTGATCACTGAGCACACACCCCAAGCACTTAAGTTGCGTGCTAAGGCTGATTACTCTCTTTTAATTACCAACCTTTGCCTTGCAAATTGTTCTTGGCTTCTGCTCTTCTCCCTTCTAAGAACTGCAGCCCCAAGCAACTGCTAAATGACTGTCTGTATACAGTGCCTTGCAGCGAAAGGAAACATCACATGCACATGTAAGAAAAAGAAAACAAAATCAAACCTGACTAGCTGTTGGTCGCTTTTTGGGGTCCCACTGCAACATGTCTCTCATGAGCTGCACTGCTTCACTGCTTGCATTAGGTATGAGAGTTTTTAGGTTGTTAGGTACACACTGAGGCCAGCGAAAATTCATGGAAGCTGAAAGTTGGTAGCCTTCAGGCCAGTCGTTCTGGAAGAATGAGATTTCCAGTCACAGAAAAAGTTCAGCTGTAAAATATCAGTGCTTAAGCATACCAGCATATATTCTCCTATCAGTAAAAGACTGTGACAGCTTCCTCTAGACTGTATTGAAGATTTCACTGGGAATCCTCACCACAAACCTCTAGTGAGAGGTAAGTCTTGCTTTACACCTGACCAAGCCAAGGATGCAAATGGAATCAGGAGATAGGAGTCTTGCCATGATTCCAATTTTTAGCCTCTTAAACCACAGGTTTATATGCAATGTACAAGACAAAATGAAATTTCCACCTAATGAAAGCAGTCTAAAGACTTTGTTCAGGGCTCTATTTCTCCTCTTCTAAATGTCAGGTTTTATAGCATAATTAAATAATGCTTATTACACAGAAAATGAGTTTTAATTTAGTTTACTGTGTCTGAGATCAATACCATAAATTAGCAGTAAGCAGGAAAATTTATTACTTTTATGCTTACTGCTACTGTGCCATTCTGCACTGTAGAACAGCTCTAGTACTATTGCAGTGTGGAATGTCACTTTAGCTACCTTCTTTGGCGTCCCCAAGACTTGGCAAATTTTGAATATAGTATCAATTTCACTGGCACCCGGAAAGAGAGGCCTCAAGGTGTAAACTTCTGCCATTATGCAACCAACAGCCCAAATATCTATTGGAGAACTATAGCTGGTGGATCTCAGAAGGACTTCAGGAGCCCTGTACCTGTAAGAGAAGGAAAAGAAGAAACAAATCCCATCAATGCAATTCAAACAGACATACATGAAACCACTCACCTCATCATTCTTTGTTGTTAAGAGCAAACATCCCTTAAAAAGCTCCTATCCTATATGTATGACTTTATTTTTTTTTAATTAAAACCTACATAAACTCCTGTAAGCTCTCTTCTGCCTGACATGCAGCAATCCCAGCATCTCATCTACCTTACCACTTCCCTCTTTGTTCCTGTACTGCTGCCCTCTGTAAACTGTCTTGCACTAACTGAAGCTTTTCGAATTATGCCAAGCCTAAATAAAAGTTTCATAAAGAGGAGGCATCAAAAGTGGTATTACAATCAGCACAAATTCAATACTGTACTATAAAAGGGTTGATTGCAAGTTCCCACAATGTAGGTGAGTACTAGCACTTACCATCTTGTGGATACATAATCGGTGTATGGAGGTCTAGATCGGATTTCTCGGGCTAAACCAAAGTCTGCTATTTTCACAAGTTCTGGTCCCATGCAAAGCAGGTTTTCAGGTTTCAAGTCTCTGTGAAAGAACCCTAAAATTCAAATGAAATACTGATGTGATTGCAATGTCACCCACTGCTATATCCTTTATTTTCCACCTGGATTGTTTTGCTTTAGTTCTTAGCTTTGAAGCAGGAATAGCAACACATAGAGATCAAAGTCTTATGTGGTCAACAGAGCTGGTCAGTACAATGGTTATTCAGTCTCACTGTGAAGAACCAGTATACACAAGTTGACTATCTTAAAACAATTCAGAGCATTCAGTCAAGACAGTTCCCTTTCAAGTGACACTTCCTTAACATAAAAAAATTTACACCATTTAATGTTAGTTTCATTCTAACTGAAAACTGTCCAATGAAGATATCAATACATTATATAAAATGGTATTTTAAACAGAAGACAAATTAAAACAAGGGTTTTTTTCACTTTGAATTTCTTTTTAAATCTGAGAACATAACAATCTACAAGCACTCAGCTATTCATCATCCTATCAGAGGATCTCAGTGGGTTTTTTTTAGTACTCCCTGCATTCAGCAAAACCTGATCACAAATGAGCATTTGGCAAGAGCTCTTCCAATACAAATAAGAGACCAGGACTAGAATATCACTGACTTCTGCCTCTGAAATTTGCTTCCACTATTAGCCTTGTGCTTCTTTCTTACAGGCCTCTCCTCTGAGACCACCATTTTCTATACACAGCTCCCTTTGTAGTACCTTAGCAGAGCTCTACAACCTCATTTTCAGAGACCCTCCAATATGCTTATTTTTCCCATGGCTTTGAATATGCTCCTACAGAGAATTCGCATGGGATGTGTCTACATTGCCCAGTATAACTATATTAAGTTTTGTTTGTTAGAGTAATGTATGATAGCATTGAATACACAGTGCTGTAGATATCTACTAACAAGCAGACTGTGTCCTTCCTATGGATATTAGGTAGATGTTCTGGTGCCAGCTAGAACTACTGCCTCTTTAGGGAAGGTACCAGACAGAGCAATCAAGGCTGTGCTTGGCATTTAGTACAATCACTTCTGTATTTGCTGCACAGACATGCAATGCACTGACAGAATGCTTGTGAGGTAATTCAATTCATGGCAAACTTGTAAAAAGAGCAATCAATTGTGTATTCAAATATGAATGGATGTTTAAGAGTTTGTATAGATAAAGAACATAAAACGTTTATTTGACAGGCATTTCTATGCCATACAGGAGCAGAACAGAGACATATGGAAAGGGAAAAAAAGTTCATGTGATTTTTTTGAAAACTGTGGCAGAGAGAGAGTCTTGGGACCCCCATTCTTACACTGTCAGCCACAAGACCATCAAGACCATCCTATCAGGCTTGCCATGCATTTACAGATGTTTTTAACTATGGATTTGCAACATCTTGGTAGAAATACCAGTCTAGTGTGTAGCAGGTCTGTGAACAAAAAAGGTATTCTGAAAGGTTGTGATCCATTTGACAATTTATTAAAAAAGATGGATTAGATTTTTGCAAATCAATCACAGTATTTTTCTATTTTTACATATTATATATCTCACTGGAATAGACTGGAATTTATAGTTTGGTTTCAGAAGAGTATCCAAGTGCCACTAAATGAGTGAAAAAAGCTATCAGATTGAAAATTTTTTGCAAAACAGAGTTAAATGTGTTCTTCAAGAGAAGTGAAATGCTGGTCCTACAAGCCTTTCACTTCCAGGACTTTGGCCATTGATGTTAGCTCTCTTCTGATAAACCAGAGAGCTGCCCAGCAACAGACGCTACAGTGTATTTAGCAGGCAGAATTGCAGAAGTCAGCAAAACATGGTGAGGAAGCTATCAATAAAATAAGGGGTTAATTTCAGGGTTTTTTTATTAGCAAAGTGGGTCTTGTTACTACTGGCTGGTACACCAGCTACAGCTTTTATCATTATTGTAAAAATTAGTTGGAATGCCATGCAACAAAAGCTGTTTGTCACTCAGACTTTATTACTTTAAGCGCATCTTACAGAGAACATGTGTTTTATTTGGTATCTGTCTGTAGTTTGAGAAAAGAGTAACTTCTCCTTTATTCTCAATCTCAGGGGGCCTCTAAATCTATCACAAAATGTGTCCATTAACATCAGACGAGTTTGAGAGTGACCAGCTGTCAGTCTGAGAAAGCAGAAACCCACAGAAAAGGAACTGAGCAAACCTCCAGACGAAATTATCAGGCAACTATAAAATAGAGATATTCTCAGTAATCTGAACCTCTCATATAGTGCCATTCTTTTGATCATTCCTGTTCCTAAAGTTAATACTTTAATTGTTAGTGTATTCATTAAAATACTTCCATAAACACTATAAGTCTCTAATTCAAAATGTTTACAGGTAAAACATAACCTACCATGCTTATGGATAAATGCAAGCCCTTGCAGGATCTGATACATAATATTCCTAACTGTAGACTCAGGGAACAGTTTGTTTCTGTGGAATAAAAGGGAAGAAGTAAATATTAATGACTGAAGTATCTTATGCTATGAACCAAAGATAAAAGGTAACAATGACAATAAAACTGCTAGATATATTTTAAGCACTCTCATGTAGTTTATTTCTCCATCAGAATTTATACATATTTGCAGAGCTGCCAAATGATATTATACTAAGACTGTATATCATGTTAAGGCTATGAGGTACACTGAAAATCAGGATGCAGTTGGCTTTCTAGGCTGCAAGAACACATTGCAGGGTCATACTTAGGCCTCATCCACCCACACCCACAAGTCCTTCTCTGGGCTGCTCTCAATTCTTTCCCTGCCCAGCCTTGTGCTTGTATTTTACTTCATGACAGGTACAGGTCATGAGGCACACTCCTCAAGACAGCATGGATTCATGTTAATTTAGTGCTTTTCATGCACAGTTTCTTCCAGCCTCTCATCTAGAGCATATATATACAGCACGTACTTTTGACTTTCCTTTGTTGTTATCTAATAGCCGATTTGCTACTTCTTTCTCTTATCTGAGAAAAACAGTCTCATCGGCTATTGCTGAAAACCAGAGGCTCTCCTCCTCATAATACTCAGGTGGGAAGATCAGCCACGACAGGCGGTTTAATGTGAGATCCCTTACCAAGATGGAATTGGTAAGACGGACTGATCAGGAGCTCTGTACCAGCACATGGGGATGGTCTGGGGTGGAAATCAGTGACAATTTCATTCAGAAAGCCTAACAGTAAATGAAGAAGACAGCCTGAGCCTTATTCAATTTCCTGAGCTCGGTTCCTCTCAAATAAAACCTGACTATCACATATTTCAGAAGCAAGATCAGCTACTAGAGATTTTCATATTTGCCCTTCTTTTTTAATTACAGCAGAAAGCCTTACATCCTCTACAGTCCCTTCAAGCAAGACTAAGAATTAGTCTGGCAATTTAACTAAGAATTAAGCAAATAAATCACATTCCAAAAGTTTGAGTTATACAATGTCTAACAAGTCCAAGCCCTAGCTAAACTGTAGAGAATATTATGCAGAACACACTTTCTGAAACATCTGCCCTTTTTGTTTTCAGAAGGAGACAGGATATCAAGCACTTCTAAGAAATTCCTAAAGATAATTGGTTTCTGTGTTAAACACTTGAACTATTTCCTCAAAGTTCATTATATCATATAATTAAAAATTAGCATCCATATACAACCTAATTTAATTCAAGTTGTTCTACACCTGTGCATGCATAGTAGGTATTTCTATGCTTAAAAAAGTATTTTATGCAATATTCACAGAGATATGTTACAACAATAACCTTACTTTGTTAAATCAAGGAAGATCACTGTCATCTACCAGGCTGATAACTATGGTCCACAGAGAGAAAATGGCCTCCTCAGAGAATAAGTCAAAACAGGGAACTGTTTTGCCCCCAGTTATCCTCTGGAGGATGTTACCATGGCCCAAAGGCTAGAATTAAGACTTTATTAATCCTCCAGCAAATACAAAAAAGCTAGATTTTATTCAGAATGCTGACAAATTAAATGGGCTGTCTGTGGACATGTCAGCTTAAACTGCAAGGAAAATCCAAAATTTGATCCCTCTGGATTACTTTTTCAACCTCTTTTCATTTATTAATTTATTTGACAAAGCCATAGAAGAAAGGTGGTGAAACCACTCTGTTACAGAAAAAGCATGGTTGGAGTACCTATGTAGAAATCAGAAGTTCTAGGTTCAATGCTTCCTCAGTGTGAGGGCTGTTAAAAGCCCACAGTTCCTAACTCTCAAAAGAGCACCCTACTTACCTGCCAGGCTAATCTGGGAAGAGACATTGGAAACTCTCATTAAACTGGATGGGATATGCTCAAAGGTGACAGCCACAGCTCCTACTGCAGCATGCAGCTTTAAGCCACAGTGATCTAACCCTCAACAAATGATCCAAAGTCCTTTCAACAGTAAAAGGGGTGCTAAAAGTACATTACACAAGTAATATATCAGGAATGGGTGATGCTGCTACCTACCTTTCTTTCATCAACTGATAAAGATTTTCCTTCATGTATTCAAACACAAAATACAGATGATCATTTTCCCTGATAACTTCTTTCAGCTTTACTACATTGGCGTGGTTTAATTTCTTCAAAGACTAAAAAAAGACAAACAGGATTTTACAGGGGTCTTAATCTAATGACAAAAAAACCCCCACCTTATTTCACTGATGCAGAAGAATTGACTTCAATATTTTAAATAATCAGACAGCTCTGAGAACAAGAACCAGATCTACAAGTATTACAGATACATATACAGTCTACATATTAATTTAATGCTCTGCTCATTCAAAAGCCAGCTATCTGGTATCACTGCAGGCACCAAAACAAATGCATTTTCTCTGTAAGTAACTTCCTACTGGCAGAATTAACACTCTCCTTGCACCTGCACTGACAATAGCCAGGTTAGAATCAAGACTAAATACAACCTTGGAAAGTCCTCCTTGGTATTGTGGATTAACCCTAGTGGGCAGCTGAACTTTTTCATCCCCCCCAAATGGGATGGGGAAGATAACTGGAAGGGCAGAAAGTGAGACAACTCATGGGTTGAGATAGACAGTGTAACAGGTAAAGCAAAAGCTGAGCATGCAAGCAAAGCAAAATAAGGAATTAATTCACTGCTTGCCATGGGCAGGCAGGGGCTCAGCCACATCCAGGAGAGCAGGGCTCCATCGCGTGTAACGGTGACTTGGGAAATCAAACAGCAGCACTCTGAACGTTTCCCTCTTCTCCTTCCCCCAGCTTTTGCTGCTGAGCACAATGGCACATGGGATGTCCCTTTGGTCGGTTGGGTTCAAGTGTCCTGGTTGTGTTCCCTCCCACCCTTTTGCCTAGCTTCAGCCTACTTGCTGGCACGAAAGCATGAAAAGCAGAGAAGGCCTGAGGTTGTGCAATCACTGCTCAGCAATAACTAAAACATACATGTGTTGCCAAGACTGTTTTGGTCACAAATCCAAAACACAGACCCATACAAGCTGCTATGAAGAAAATTAACTCTACCCCAGCCAAAACTAGCAAATGTGGATCTTCATTCTCCCTTCTTCTTAGATTTTCAGTGTATTCAACATTCATTTTTGCTGCAGCAACACAGTACCAATACGTGGTACTGTAAGAAAAGTGACCTAAGTTTTCTGCATGTTTTCAACAGTGGACTAGAAATTAAGGAAGTCCCTAAAGTTTTGCTGGTATCAGAATTTCATGTTAAATGTCTGCCCTCAAGCCAACTATAGAAAAACAACTGCATGTACCAAAGTTAATGCTGAAAAGGGCATGTGTTCTCAAGCTCTGCAAAACAAACATCAATCAGCTCCTGGTGTTGTGACAGGAACACTCGCACTCACACACTGCTCACTGCAAGGAGGAGGCAGCTCTCCACAACCAAATGATTTTCTGTAGAACTACAGAAATTTAATAAGCATTTTTATAAGACTTAAACAAATGCAGACTCAGGAATCAGAACTGCAACGTCAAACGCCACAGTTTATGTTGGGGGGAGTTTTTGATAAACAGGAAGAATTTGATGTTATCCCAAAATGTTACGAGGATCATGTAATTTGAAATCAACCATTGAACTAAACAAGTACCTTAACCTCTCGAAGGTTCATGCATTCCTCCCAGGAATAAAACTTTCTCTTCATTCTACAATAGCAAAGGACAAAATAACAATTAATGCACAGTCAACATCAGCTTGTCTTAGACCTGTAAGTCTCACTGCATCTTAATAATTCAGTTCTTCCATCAAAGTATAAGGTGTTAGCTCCTTTGTCAAAAAACTTCACAAGGTACACTTGAATAGAATTACTAGAATACACACTCAAATAGAATTACACTTGAATAGTAATTACTGTTACAGAGGATTGCCTTTTTCTGTATGTATATATCTATATCTATATATCTTGCTGAAAATAATTGAGAGCCTTCGACAAGTCAGGGCATGCTATTTTTCTTTCCAGTATACAATGTGGTGGAGTAGAGTCTGACTGCAAAAAGAATGAGGGTAGTTACAACAGTTACGAACAACTCAAAGGACAGTTTTGAAACAAATCAGATGAAGATCCAACCACTTCAGTGGGTTTCCAATTTTATCATACTCTCCTTGCTCCTCTTCTCTATATTTTGATTTTCTCTGTAATTTTAATACCTTTCCCCTCTAAGCTCTATTTCCTGTGTATTTTCTGTGTATTTTCTGTGTCCACTGCTCCCCATGTTTCTCCCTCCCTTGCAAGGTGCATCTATCATCCGGACTGCTTTTCAAATTCTGCCTTCCCTTTCAAGCTTATAAGCAATTCTGCTCTAACAGAAACAAACTGTGTGGCAGATTTGCTTTCTCCTAAGACAGAATATAACCCTGAACATATGATTTGCGTGTAACGTATGGTCTTGTCTGTTCATACACATTTTGATTACAACTCAGTTCTTTTAAATGAAAATCTACACTTTAGGACCAGCAGGAGAAAGGTTCACACATACACACACAGAAGAGCTCAGATTAAAACTTAGAAAAATATTCAACTGCTTAGAGTGTGGATTTCAGATGGAGTTAGGCATCCTTTGAGTCTTTTCCAGGTTTACAAATAATTCAGTATTACTTAATATTGTACCAAGTTTCCAGTTTTAAATCAGTTCTTAGAATAGTTTAAGAACTACAAGCCCTTCATGTCATGAAGGAGTCTGAATTATTTTTTTGTTAAGCAGTGTTTCTGCAATTACTATCTTGTATGTTCAGCCACCAGTCCACTTCTGTTCTTAATAATGGCCTGGCATTAACATGTAAACTAACAAAATACCATCTTCTGGTTTGTTCTGAATTTTCTGAGAATGTCCCACATTGCAAAATGAAAATGAAAGGTGCCTCTGACAAGGTTTGATACAGGAAAAATACTCTTAATACAGAGGATTTAGAAAAGTTGATAAAGCCAGCTATTGACTGTTCATACAAAACAGCATTGTAATGAAAGCTCTTTCAATAAGTATGACTCTGGGTCGCGGTCGGTATTTCAGGAAGGTGCCTGCAATTCTTTACAGCTGCCTCTTACCACAGCTAGGACAAATAAGCCATTTACAAACTAGGATCCCTGCTGAAGCAGCAAAGAAAATTAAATTAATTTCTCAAGGAAGTTCAAGAAAATTTTAAGATGAACAGATGTAATAGCATATAACGATACAGATAATGGACAATGAGATCCATTGTGTTCATTATCATTGCAGTATTAACATTACCTTGAAAATTAAACCATGAAATGTATGATCCACATAAGCAGCAGCAAAGAGGCTGCAGATTCCAAAGCAGCATTGCAGAATACTGTAAATAATATACAAAATACAAGTTTGGCTGCACATAATAGCTGAGCACTATTATGAGCCTATATATCTCACCCTCTTTGCCTTCTGCTGGGGCTTTGGAGGATTCAAGGAACTTGAGTTTTGCATGCTGCCCCAATACAACTCCATATACAAAAGCTGCACTGAAATGTGAAGTACTCGATCCAGCATGACCAAGTTGACGTGGACCTAGAAAGGAAAAACCTGGACTATCCACAGTTAAGTAACGTATGAAAATACTTACTTTTTAATGGCTATTAGCTCTCCAGATTCAATGCTTCTCCCTAGGAGGACAGAGCCGTAGGTCCCATCACCAAGCTGTCTGATAGTTGTGTACCTATTCATGATGAGGATACTTTAGCTGCAACTGCATTTCAGTCCTTAGTGTTTCTTGTGTTTCTCCTTCGACTGTAACCAGTTCTTTCTGTGGCAGCATAAATATAGAGGACTCAGGACAGTGTGAACAGTTGCAGGGATCATGTTTTCAAGACTTAGCCTTCGGTCTGAAAGCACAGAACATAATCCATTTGATTTCTGTACCCTTCCAAGATTGCTTGTTTGCAGACTCCACCCTCCTCCAAGAGACAGTCCTTGTTAGCTATACACAAACACTCGCCATGGTTTCTCACCAGAAAAGGCCAGCCAGCACCTTGACATAACGAGCTGTGTTCCCCAAAGCCAGTCTTATGGTACTAAGGTACATATGGTACTAAGGCACTAAAGGTACTTTACAGCAAGCTTGTAGGCAGCCCTAATGTGATCCACTATTACTAAAAGCAGAGGATAAAGTGTCACAACTTGGAGAAAATAGTCTGGTATCGGAAAAAAAAAAAAGCAGCTTTACAGTATGATAAGAGGGAATCTGTTCTAGACAAACTATCAGACATGTAAGTCACCATCTCACAAGTCATACTGCCAGCAGTTTAACCAGTTTCCTGACTTTCCATAAGATCCTATGCTAGAGGGTCCAGACATATGTATTCCCTTAAATAAAGTGTTCAGAGGAAGAGTATTATATTCATGTCAGGTAAGACCAAATGTATTTCACTCCAGTAGCCCTACGTCTGAATCAGTCTGTAGAAGTAGTGGTTACATCAAATTATCTATTGGATTTCTTGTCCTGGCATTTCATGAACCAAAAAAAACATAGAAGAGTTTGAGTCAGATGGGACTTTAAAAGATAATCTAGTTCCAACACCCCTGCCATGGGCAGGGACACCTTCCAGTATCCTAGTTGCTCAAAGCCCCATCCAGCCTGGCCTTGAACCCTTCCAGGGAGAGGGTATCCACAGCTTCTCTCCTCCTCGTTTAATGTAACTGTTGCTGATATTTCCTATACTACAGTTTAGAACAAATGCCATCTATTCTATGTAAATTAACCACACATTTGGAATCAAAAAGAATTCCCCTGCAATGCGGGTTTTGTCCCTGCATTCTCTTTTTCTCCATCTCTAAGAAGGCAGCAATATTCATGGCCGATGACTTCTGCCTTCTGTATTTTAAGTAAGTTTTCACAATTTTTTTTTGTAGCAGCCTTATATCTCTCCTCCATTTTACCTTATTTCACAAAGCCACATTATGATTTTAAAAGTAATAGGTTTATGTTGCTGGAATTCTTAACTGACATCAGTACAGAGCCACAATCCTATAGATGCAAGATGTTTTCAGTCTTCTAAGCCTATTAGCCTCACTAATACTGATACAGGGGAAAAAATTAGAAATACGATGTTAATACACCTTTTGACAATTTTACACATTGTGTATGAAAAAGAAACAGCATGTCTCTATCTCAGACACTGTGTGGTGTCTCAGACAAGCAGGAGGAATTTCTGTCTAGCAGAACCTGTTTCTCTCCATACACTACCAGAGAAAACTACAACTGAGCACCCTAGAGACATAATCCCACATTTTGTACTGCTTGCCAAGGAACACAGAGCCTGTCTGTAAGAAAGGCACTTTGGGGTACCACTTTCTTTTCGGCTGGTTTTCAGGCTGTGCACCTGTATAGCATAAAGCCATGTTTAGGCAATGGTCTGCATCCAGGTTAAAAAGCTGGTCAGCTGACCAGCTCCAGCTGGTCAATGACTGGATGACAACTCAGAAGCCTTTGCTCCTGAGCCTTTATTCAGATCCTCAGCAAAAAATTTCCAACGACGACAAAGCCTAGCATGTTCTCCTTAGTCAGCAAAGGCAATAGTTATTAATAGCCAAACAAATACTATTATATAGTAATTTCAAATCAACACGGATGGGACTTGTGGACTTTTCAGCACATATTCCCCTAATGACAGAGTTCTGAAATTGTAATCATAACAGATATGATGGCTTACAATTCAGAGAACATTATGCTGTCCCTGGCCTACCATTCACATATCCCTTCCAGGGGACTGCGAGTGAAGAGCAAAGGAGCACCTTGGGTTTGATAACTACAGTAAACCTAAATATGCATAACACTACTAGCACATGATATTGCTTGTAATAATCACCAACGGCTTTCATGCATAGATTGTTTGTCTGATATCTCTTGAACAGATAAAGTGGCAAACGTAATTGCCTATTCCTTACTGAGGATACTAATTGAAGCTCCTTTCCATGGCCACCAATTTTCACAGAACTTGTAAGAAATTATCTCTGTGAATCCAGCTCTGGTGTCAAATGTGACCAAAACAGTCAAATTAATTGAAGTATTTTTGAGGCATAAAGGAGAGGCAAAGATCCCAGAGAGGAAAAACCAATCTGTCAGAGATTTCAGTGAGGAATGCATGTTAAAGCCAGGATGCACAGAAGTTAACATAGCTCCTATGGAAGCACAAATCCACCTATACAACCCCCCCCCCCGAACAAAACCTAAATAAAGTCTTCTTTGGTTAACTGAATAATCACATTTCTTGTTGAGCTTAATAGCAAAGTTGTTGCACTGAAATCACTGTGAAGGGAATGAATCTCTAACAGTTTGCACAGCTACAACATGTATAATCTAGTCTAGATTCCAGTATAGAACTACTATTATGCAAATTCACATCATTACAGGATATAAACTGCAAAAATATCTTGGAGTGTGTTGATACTAAAGAGTAAAATGTAAAAACCTTTATTTTCACCATATTGTAACACCATGTTCAGACTGTACCTCAACTTTCTTCCCCGCAGAAATCAGCCAGCAAAGCCCCTTTACCAGCAAGCCTAATTCAATGTATCGAGACCTCCTTCTGACTCTATGTACAACTCAAACTTATGATTTCGTTAAAGTACCCTTTAAATAAGCATCCGCTCCTGTTTGAAGGGCTAAAGCGCCGAGAACTGAAAGCGAAACTGTCTCACTCTGCCACAGCTGAGAAACACAAACAGTAAACAATCATCATGTGTCTTTTTAAACTTGTCCAGTGCTCTGGCAATAACCCGAAGGCGTTACTAGCAGGATGCACAGAGAAAGGCGCGGCTCGAGCAGGATGCACAGAGAAAGGCGCGGCTCAAAGCCGCGGGTGTCCATCGGTGCGGTCCCAGCGGCTGCCGTGTTTGTTAGAGAGCTCTGGGGGTGCCCCATGAGCTGCACACGCAGGCGGGAGCCGCGGGCGGCATCAGCCCGGAGGCAGACGCGCGATGACGGGAAGGCGAGCGGTGGCTCCGGCCCAGTCTCGGCTCCGGCCCGGCCTCCGCGCTGCGGCGGCGCCCGATCCCCCGCTCCCGTCCCTCGCCGTGCGGGAACGCGGGTCCCCGGCCCCGCCATGCCCGTGCCCGGCGGGACTCACCGCGGGCGCGTCTCCCTGCTGCGGCCCAGCCCGGTCTGCGGAGAGGCCCCGAATGGCGGCGCCGCGGCCCCGCCGCTCCGCGGAGCAGCTGCGGCCCAGGGCGGCCCTCGCTCGGCCCATGGAGCGGGCCCGGCCCGGCCCCCCGCGCCCCCGGCCCGGCCCGGCCCCCGCCCGGAGGGGCTCCCCGCGGGGGGACAGCGGCGCACGACTGCCGGGCCGGACCCCGCGCAGAGGGGGCGGCGCTGAGCTGGGTTTTAACGAAATTAAGTAACAACAAGCAAACCAAAACATCTCTGGAGCATCTCTCTTACGAGGAGAGACTGCGGGAGCTGGACCTGATTTATCTGGAGAAGCCAAGACTTGGAGGGGGTCTCTTTATTGCATATAAATATCTCAAAAGGGGGTGCCAAGAGGACGGTGCCAGTGCTGCCCAGCGACAGGACGAGGAGCAATGGCCATAAACTAAAACACAGGAAGTTTCACCTCAACATAAGGAAGAACTTTGCACTGAGAGTGGCAGAGCACTGGAACAGGCTGCCCAGGGAGGTCGTGGAGTCTCCCCCTCTGGAGACTTTCAAAACCCACCTGGACACGTTCCTGTGTCACCTGCTCTAGGTGATCCTACCTTCAAAGTGGGGTTGGTCTGGATGATCTCCAGAGGTCCCTTCCAACCCTAACAATTCTGTGATTCTGTGAAAACAAAACCCAGACAAACAAAAACATGGGGCTGATGACCAGCCTCTCTGACATCCCTGAGAGAAGCTTAAATAACAAAACTGGAACACAGAAATACCAGATTGTGAACAAATGGGAAGAATATCAACAATTTAAGTGCTGCTGGAGGGCCTGAGTCTTCCTCACCTGAGCACCAGCAGGTCTCCCTGGCTCTGACAGGGTCAGAAGACATAGTGGAAGGGGGGCAGAAAAAGGGAAACAAGGAACAAAAAATTGGCCTCAAGCACTTCGTTATCAGAACTGACTGTAATAGTGATTCGGCAAGTCTTATCTTCTTTTTACACTTCATCATTTAGTTTTGACAAGTAAAGCATAAAGTTCTTTCCCAGGGTTTGCAAAGACAGGGTGAGCTGGCACTGTAATTCAGGAGCACAGCATTTGACAATTTGTTAAAAAAGATGTGGGGAAAAACAAAGCTCTGGATGCTGCACGCCTAACCCCTCCATCTAATCAGAGGCTAGTCTTTATATTTACATGAATAAATAATAAGAAGGAGAGTTAAATTCTCTCCTACAGACAGGCATGACTCTCAGAGAAGCCTGGAGGACCAGTGTACACTTACTCACAAGAGATTTCTGTTTTAAGCCACCCCTGTTACATCCCACGTGCACAACCATGTATTAGCATCCAACCAGTGACAGCTGTAGGACATTATTTTTCTGTTTTTAGAGGTAGGGTTTCTTCATTCCCAAAAGAATGATTTGGGTTGGAAAGGACCTTAAAGATAATCTCTTTCCAACCCGCCTGCAGGGACACCTTCCAGTAGACCAGGTTGCTCAGACCCACATACAACCCGGCCTTGAGCACTTCCAGGGATGGAGCATCCACAGCTTCTCTGTGCCTCACCACCCTCACATTAAAGGATTTTTTTCTAATATCTAATACTTAATATCTAAGAAGAGGCACACCAAGGCAGGAGAAAAGCAGCTTTGACTACAACCTCAAACAAGCAGCAGCACTAATGATAACCAGTTGTAGCCTTGATCACCCCATCTCAAAACCTCAAGCACTGTTGCTGTGCTATCTCATCTGTTCACACAGGGCCTGCCATCGTGACAGTAGCACCCAGTGCCCTCTGCTGCCCACCACCCCCCACCCGGCAGCCAGGGATCGGCACTGGCCTGTCAGGCAGCTCCCCCGCCCCTCACACTCTCTTCTCCGCAGAGCAGCTCTACAGGCACCTGGATCTGAAACCCACTGCTGGTGCCAGCTCCCACAGCCCTTGCATCCCCATTCCCTGCTCCCGCTGCCCGAAGGAACCCGAGTGCTCACCTGCCCCTCCAGAGCAGACACACACTTCTCCCTCCTCCTCCTGAAAACACTCAGGGCAGCTGATAAGCACAGAGGTTCACAGGTCTTACACAAAGACCCATACACATCGTTTTCTTCTAGAACAAAAAGACTTTAAGAAAAATACGCTTTAAGAAAAATAGGTTTAGTCCTATTTTAGAAAACCTGACGAAGTATGTGCTGACAGCAGGTGGTAACTGTGCTCACAGAGCTGGACGGGCAAAGGGCAGGGGCCACGAGATTCAAAGGCCTCGGCACCACTGTCTTCTCCACGGCGGCACTGAGCGCTCGCTCGTTACCCTGTCAGTAATCCGCCTGTGACAGGGCCCTGGTCTGACCGCGGTCACGGCGGAAATCGCGGTTCCCAGACATCACCGCCTTCCCTCGGCTCCCGCCCCTGGGATCCCGCCTGCTGGGATCGCCGCCCGCGGGACTACAGCTCCCGGCAGACTCTGCTCCGCCGTCCTTCCTTCCCCCGGGGTGCCGTCGCGGACTACACTCCCCAGCAGGCCTTGCGCGCCCCGCCCGGGCAGCAGAGGCGGTGCGAGCCGCGGTGCGCGCTGGGGCAGGGAGTCCTCGCGGTGCCGTGTCGTAGCGCCCCGCGCGGGAGGCGGCGCTCTGACCTGGCGGGTTCGCCCGGGCCGTGTCCCGCCGCTCCCGCCGCCGGCCCTGCTCGCCGGGAAGATGGCTGCCGTCCGCAGGGCCCGCAGGGACTCCCGCTGCGTGGTGCGCTTCTCCGACCGAGAACTCTGCTAAGGGCCCCCCGCGGGCAGGGAGGACACACGGACCGAGCGGGGGGGCAGGGCCCCCGGGACGGGACAGCGCCGCCCGAGCGTCGGCAGCATGGTGAGCGGGCCCGGGCGGCGGGGGCTCGGCCGCCGTGGAGGGGCGGCCGGGCGGGACCGGGACACGGCGGGTGTGCCCAGGAGCGGCCCCTTGGGACGAGCCGCTGCCAGGCAGCCCTGCCTTGCCCGCCCGCGGGCACCGAGTGATGCCTGTGGGAAGCGTGCCGTAATCCCACCCCGCCACAGGGAGACACGGCCGCCTCCTGCAGAGGATACTGGGCTGATGAGTGGGACTGCTCGGTTCGAGAGCGACAGAGCTCTCCCCTAGGAACACCCAAGAAATCACTGTGTCATTACAGAAAGCGTGCCCTACCTTTTCCTTCTCTCAAAAATCTGGTGGCACACAGTCACTCTGTAATTTAAAGGGCTCTGTCGGCCGGGCACTCCAGTTATCTAAGTTTGTCTTTTAACGTATCAGAAATACTGCTTGGTTCAGTATTGCTTTTTTGACTGCATCTCAATATGGATTCAAGTATCCATGATGAGAACTCGATTATTTAAAGTTAAACTATTTATATCACACAGGGGCAATTAAAACGACTCACCACTACGATTAAAATTCTTATTTTTAAACACAGTGTTGCTTCTAACACATTGACAGAAAAATGTCAACATTCTGCTTTATTTTTTGTATAAACCCAAGCAGAATGTTAGCTGACGGTCACTTTGTCGTACCTGCTCCTCCCTGAGTTCTGTTCAGTTTACACATAGCCCTGTTCAGCTGGTGACACTCAGCTTCAAACTGTTTCTGATCTTGGCTTTCTTTATTTTGCTGAAACAGAGATCAGAACTATTAAAGGACCTGACATGACAGATAGTTTAGTTAGCAGTTGTTGTACTCTGAGGAAATCAACATGCAATTACTGATTGCAAAACACAACTAAACTGTGCAGATAAACTAGTTTTGCATTTGGTAAATGATTTCTAAAGCTTTGCAAGCAAATGAAAATCGAATCTACTCAGCCGACTTCTTTTTTTACAGGTCGCAGTCTTAATTCAGGTGCTTACTTTTGACATGTTGACCTTTTGGTGGCTTGACAGACTACCACTTTTCTCATGGAAAATTAGTCAAGCTGATCAGTACACTCAATGATGTCTTGCTTTCTATCAGGATAAAGTCACTGTTTCGTGTGACAGCTGACTTGTAGCAGGAGTGAGGTCAGCAGCATAGAGATGAACAGTCTGGATTAATCTACTAAGTAACAGTTACAGTACAGTGTTCTGTGAGTTTTAGAAACTATAACTACAATTTAAGTATTGTCAGAGTAGGGACAAGGAGCCAATTTTTACACATTACAGTGTGCTTTAGGTGTTGATCTCATGATCTGCCTCCTACTGAAGGTCCTTGCTTCAGCTTGTCCTAGCAAAACCTTAGGGTTTCAGCAGATCAAATAAATAGTGGAAGGGTTGTTAATAGAGATCAGATTTACAGTCCAGTTAAGTGTGCAGTAGCAATGTGAATTAATTGCTTTACTGGTAAATTTAGAGGGTTGACCGCTTAGGCTTCTTCTGCTGAGAGAAGACAGACCTTTGATATGGGAGACTTCAGATCACACATGAATGCAGTATAGAGGAGGTAATGACAAAAGTTAAAGCTTTAGTTGTAATCAACTTCATGATGTTTTTTGACAGCTTTTAGATGGTAGGCTAGGTCTTCATAGAATTTTTGTTTGAATTGAGGTTTAGGTTTTAAAGAGCATCAAATGACATTTTGAATGCAGTTGGTCCAGAACCACATCTGACTGTGAGTCAGATGTGAAGAAGTAGGGCAGTTGAACAGAGATAACGGGAGGAAAATCAAGAGTTTAACAGATTTCATAGTGAAACCTGTGAACATGAGGTAAACTTCTTAAGTAATTTTAACTGTTACTCTGAAATTTGTTTGTTTACAGACTCCA